CAGTAAATCGTGTAGGCCTCTGCTTGAGCTGGGTCTTGGATATTTGGTTCATTTAGAAGTTCCTGTATTCCTAATAGGATCTGTTTGATTGTGATGGCTGGCCTCCAGTCCTTGTCCTCCTCTAAGATGGACAGGCACACTGTCCCCGAAGGGTACACATTTGGGTGAAATAACGGTGGTTCAAATTTACATTTCGGTGGTGAAGATGGATAGTCATCTTTGAAAAGCATCCGCAGTTTAAACAAGCCTCCTTCCCACGGAGTCCCTTTCTTTCCTGGAATGGCGCACTCCCAGTTCATGAGGTTCATCGTGCCATCGGGATTTTTTGTTGGGACAGCCATGAAACCAAACGGGTGGTCTTTTCTCCACGCTTTCCTCTCCTGGGCGAGTCTGCTGAGGGCGATCCCCGACATGTTCAGAGTCCCTCGGGCGGCCGCGGCCCCGGCGAGCGTCGCGGACAGGCGGAGGACCGAGCGGGGCGGCGGCGGCGGCGGCGCTTCCCTTTGTCTCGGGACTTCCCTCCGGAGCCCGCTCCGCGCGCAGCCCCTGCTGGCCTGGCTTAAGGTCATGGAGAAAGCCCACGTCAACCTGGTGAGGTTGTAGTGGGACCTGGGGCTAGGCCACCTCCCTCGCTTTTTTGGAACTGCAGTGACCTGCCTCCTTTCCCCACACGCGCAAGTGGTGACCGCTGCCACACACAGCCTCAAGGAGATCCTGAAGGAATGTGTGGCTCCCCACATGGCTGACATCGGCTCCGTGACCTCCTCGGCCTCAGGCCCCGCCCAGTCTGTTGTCAAGATGTTCAGGGCAGTGGAGGAGGGCCTGACGTACAAATTCCACGCGGCCTGGAGCTCCGTGTTGCAGCTGCTCTGTGTCTTCTTTGAGGCATGTGGGAGACAGGCCCACCTAGTGATGAGGAAGTGCCTCCAGTCCCTGTGTGACCTGCGCCTCTCCCCTCATTTCCCCCACACGGCGGCTCTTGACCAGGCAGTGGGGGCTGCGGTGACCAGTATGGGACCTGAGGTGGTGCTGCAGGCTGTGCCTTTGGAAATTGATGGCTCTGAAGAGACTCTGGATTTCCCACGGAGCTGGCTGCTGCCTGTCATCCGAGACCACGTTCAGGAAACGCGACTTGGTTTCTTCACCACCTACTTCTTGCCCCTGGCTAACACCCTGAAGAGCAAAGCCATGGACCTGGCTCAGGCAGTCCACACAGTGGAGTCCAAGATCTACGACACACTCCAGTGGCAGATCTGGACGCTCCTGCCTGGGTTCTGCACGAGGCCCACAGATGTGGCCGCCTCCTTCAAAGGACTGGCACGGACGCTGGGCATGGCCATCAGCGAGCGTCCAGACCTGAGGGTCACTGTGTGCCAGGCCCTGCGCACCCTCATCACCAAGGGCTGTGAGGCAGAGGCTGACCGTGCTGAAGTGAGTCGCTTTGCCAAGAACTTTCTGCCGATCCTCTTCAACCTATATGGCCAGCCTGTGGCAGGTGGGGACACTCCAGCCCCTCGCCGGGCTGTGCTGGAAACCGTCAGAACTTACCTCACCATCACTGACACTCAGTTGGTGAACAGTCTCCTGGAAAAAGCCAGCGAGAAGGTGCTCGACCCTGACAGCCCTGACTTTACCAGATTGTCTGTCCTGGACTTGGTCGTAGCCTTGGCTCCATGTGCTGATGAAGCCGCCATCAGCAAGCTGTATTCCACCATCCGGCCCTACCTAGAGAGCAAGGCCCATGGGGTGCAGAAGAAGGCCTACCGAGTGCTGGAGGAGGTGTGTGCCAGCCCCCAGGGCCCCGGGGCCCTCTTCGTGCAGAGCCACCTGGAGGACCTGAAGAAGACACTGCTGGACTCACTGCGGAGCACCTCCTCACCTGCCAAGAGGCCCCGCTTGAAGTGCCTCATACACATCGTGAGGAAGCTGTCAGCTGAGCACGAGGAGTTCATCACTGCCCTCGTCCCAGAGGTGATCCTGTGCACCAAGGAGGTGTCGGTGGGCGCGCGGAAGAACGCTTTTGCACTGCTTGTGGAGATGGGCCATGCTTTCCTAAGGTTTGGCTCGAACCAGGAAGAGGCCCTGCAGCGCTACCTTGTCCTGATCTACCCTGGCCTGGTGGGCGCGGTGACCATGGTCAGCTGCAGCATCCTGGCCCTGACCCACCTCCTTTTCGAGTTCAAAGGTCTGATGGGGACCAGCACAGTGGAGCAGCTGCTGGAAAACGTGTGCCTGCTTCTGGCCTCCCGCACCCGTGACGTGGTCAAGTCTGCACTGGGCTTCATCAAGGTGCTGGTGACTGTCATGGGCGTGGCACACCTGGCCAAGCATGTGCAGCTGGTGATGGAAGCCATTGGGAAGCTTTCAGATGACATGCGGCGGCACTTCCGCATGAAGCTTCGGAACCTCTTCACCAAGTTCATCCGCAAGTTTGGATTTGAGCTGGTGAAAAGGCTGTTGCCGGAGGAGTACCACAAAGTCCTGGTAAACATCCGGAAAGCTGAGGCCCGGGCCAAGAGACACCGAGCCCTGAGCCAGGCTGCCGCAGAGGAGGAAGACGAGGAGGAGGACGAGGAGCCCGCCCAGGGCAAAGGCGACAGCATTGAGGAGATTTTGGCTGACTCAGAGGATGAGGAGGATGATGGGGAGGAGGAAAGAAGCCGGGGCAAGGAGCAGCGGAAGCTGGCGCAGCAGAGGAGCCGAGCATGGCTGAAGGAGGGTGGCGGGGACGAGCCCCTCAACTTCCTGGATCCCAGGGTGGCCCAGCGAGTCCTGGCCACACAGCCAGGGCCGGGCCGGGGCAGGAAGAAGGACCATGGCTTCAAGGTGAGCGCTGATGGCCGACTGATCATAAAGGAAGACGACACCAACAAGATGGAGGAAGAGGAAGGCGCCAAAGGTGAGGATGAAGAGATGGCTGACCTAATGGAAGACGTGATTGTCAGGAATAAAAAGCACCAGAAGCTCAAGCACCAGAAAGGGGCTGAGGAGGAGGAGCTGGAGATGCCCCCTCAGTACCAAGCTGGAGGCTCTGGCATTCATCGCCCTGTGGCCAAGAAGGCTATGCCTGGGGCCGAATACAAGGCCAAGAAAGCAAAAGGTGATGTGAAGAGGAAAGGCCGGCCAGATCCCTATGCCTACATCCCCCTCAACAGAACCAAGCTCAACCACAGGAAGAAGACGAAGCTGCAGGGACAGTTCAAAGGCCTGGTAAAAGCTGCCCGGCGAGGTTCCCAGGTGGGACACAAAAACCGCAGAAAGGATCTTCGGCCCTTGAGGCCCAGGGCCCCGGGGCTGCCTTGCCACCAGCTCCAGGTGCTCGACTCTGGCAGAGCCTGGACTCAGGATGACTTGGAAATAGGGCTTGGCTCTCAGAGAGAAGTCCTGGATTTATAAACTCCAAATGGGAATCACCCTTCAGAGACATCCCTGGTGCCTGGAGGTGGGAAGGTGGCCTCAGTGCCTCTGAATAGGTGCAATGAGGCACCTTTGCTTTCTGCCCAGATGGCCATGAGCCCCAGACTATTATTCACTTAGAATAATAGTCTCCAATTTCATCCAGGTTGCGGTGAATGCCCCTTTCATTCGTTTATATGACTGAGTAGTATTCCATGGTATGTGTGGACATATACAACATATATATGTGTATATGTGTGTATATATACATGTGCATATATATAGTATGCATATATGTATGTACATACGTATCTCTCATTTCTTTATCCATTCATTGGTTGATGGGCATTTAGGCTGGTTCCATATTTTTGCAATTGTACATTGTGCTGCTATAAACATGTGTGTGGAAGTGTCTTTTTCATATAAAGACTTATTTTCCTATGAGTAGATATCAGTAGTGGAATAGATGGATGAAATAGTAGACCTATTTTTAGTTCTTTAAGGAATTTCCATGCTGCCATGCTGCTTTCCAATAGTTGTACTAGTTTACATTCCCACCAGCATTTGCATTTCCCTGATAATTAGTGATGTTGAACATTCTTTCATATGTTTTTTGGCCATTTGTATATTAAAGAGATGAATTTTTATATTCTATACAATCATGGAACATGAAGAAGTTTGGGAATTTGGAATGAATGTTCAGACAGATTACTGAATTACACATTTCAGATAGAAAATAAAAGGAATTCATGCTCTTTACAACAATCCACAAATTCTTATTTTGTAAATAGTTTAATGAAATAAACTTAGTTAAAACATTACACACTATAAAACAGTTGTAATTTCATCTTTTTTTCTTGTTTCATTTCTAGGTTTTCGTATCTATATTTTTCATCTAGATATGCTTTTCTCTTTGAAAATAGTATTTTCACTTGAGAGAGGAGGAAAGTCAGTCTTCATGTTTAGTTCACAGAGTCACCTCAATTCAGCAAATGCTTGGACTTATGAAAATTACAGTTTGGTCTCCAGGCATATTTTCCACAGGATTTCGGATGGCATCTTTAAGCTCATTGTGAAAAATCAATAGCTTTTGCAGCTTCATGAGATTCAGAAATATCTTTATTTCACACAGAGTGTATATGAAGATGTTCAGTTGGCACAGTGAATATATAAAGTAAAAACAGGTATTAAAAAAAAACTCATGAAAATATGGGAGGTGGAGGTAAATTGTATACATGACCCCATCAATTATCATAAAACACTCAATTATAGGAAAGAATACAGATTGTTTGTGAGTCTTTTCGCTCACTTTTTCCCAATGGCACCATCTTGTAAAACTATAGTACAATATTATAACAGGGATACTGACATTGACACAGTTAAAATATAGAATAGTTCCATTACCACAAGGATCCCTTCTATTGCTGTTTCATAGTTACATTGACTTTTGTCTGCTTATCTCTAACACTTTGAAAGCATGAATCTGTTCTACATTTTTAAACTGTTGTTGTTTTAATAATACTACGTAAATGGAAGCTTACAATAAGTAACATTTTGAGATGGATTTATTCAACTCAGTGTAATTCCCTGGAAATTCATCAAGGATGATTCATACATCATAATTTGTTGTTTCATATTATTAAGGAGTATTTCATGTGATGAATACATTACAATTTTTAAAACATTCACTCATTAAAGGACATCTGGGTTGGTTCTAGTTGTTGGCTATTATGAAAAAATATGAATAAATATGCCACTTCCTCCTGCTTTTAGATGGGAAATCCAGTTAGGAGAGTTGATGTTCCCCTATAAGTCACATGTCATTTATCTATGACTGCTTTTAAGACTTCTTTTTGTCTTTATTTTCAGAAGCTAAATTATGATATTTCTTGGTATATTAGCTTGTTCTTGCATTGCTATAAAGAATTACCTGAGACTGAGTAATTCATGCAGAAAACAGGTTTAATTGACTCACAGTTCTGCAGGTTGTGCAGGAAGCATGGCTGGGGAGACCTTCAAGAAACTTATAATCATGGCAGATGGCAAAGGGGAAACAGACACATCTAACATGGCTGGAGAAAAAGGAAGAGAGGGAAGCGGGGAGTGCTCTACAATTTTAAACAACCAGATCTCATGAGAACTCACACACTATCAAGAGAACAGCACTAGAGGAAATCCGCCCCCATGATCTTATTACCTTCCACCGGGACCCAGCTCCAATGCCGGGAATTACAATTCAATATAAGATTTGGGAGGGGACACAGAGCCAAACCATATGACTTGGTGCGCATTTTTTTTGGTTTTACCTTGTTTCAGGTTTGCTTGTTGCATGTATGGGTTTGTGACTTTCACCAAATTGGAGAAGTTCTCAGTCATAATTTTCTTTGGCTGCTCTTTCTTGCTCCAGGCTTTCGTTTCTTCCAGAGCCTTCACAGTACAAATGCTGGAAAATATGTTATTGTCCCATTGATCTCTGAGGCTCTGCTCCATTTTTTTTCCCCTGGACTCTCTGTTTCTTTTTCAGTTTTGTTTTCTTCTCTGTTGTTCAGATTGGGTAAATTATATTATTTTGCTCAAAAGTTTGTTGATTCTATTCTCTGTCACCTTTACTCTGCTGTTAACCAATATAACACATTCTTATAATTTGTCTAATTTTTCAAATTAAAATAATTTCAATTTAGTTCACTTTAAAATTTATATTTCTTTGCTAAGATAGTCTATTTTTCACATCAAGATAATTTTTAATTGGTTGTTTACCTATTTTTGATGGCTGCTTTCAGCTCAGTGATGGCTTAACTTGACTATCTTTTCTTTCTCAAGTTGTCATTTTCTTCAGTCCTTAGTATGATGAGTGATTCTCGAGTGATTCTCAACTTTACCTTGGACATTTTGGCTATTCTGTTCAGAGACTCTGGATCCTATTAATTATTTTCTAAATAATTTTAGCAGGCTGTTACTCTGTTTTTTGCACAGATCCTGACTCACTTTTGTGGGCTGTGGTCCCTTTGTAAATCTAATTTGCGGAACTTTGCCTTGCTATTTCGCTTTTTGCATTTTGTCTTAGGCATCTGGGGCTTCCACTGCTTCTTGCATTGGAGGTGGCAGGAGTTTCCAGGCCAAGCCAGCGAGGGGATTATTCTACAAATGCTTGGAACTAGGAAGCAGCCTCTCCCTCCCCACTGGGTCCAACACTCCTGAATCCCACTAGAAGGAAAGGGTGAACAATTCCTGAAGAAATCTTATTCTTGAAATTGTCTTTGCCGGTTCCTCATGCAAGGATAATTCCTGAGGAAATATTCATACTTTAAGGTGGGAAATCTTTTCTCTAACCTAGAGGCAGTGATGGTTTTTATTTTTCATTTGAATCCCTAAAATCTAAAAATTTATGTATGATGTATATTGATTTTACTTCCTGTTTTTCTTATTCTAGGCTAGACAACTTGACACAGTTTAAGATACCACCTCATGCCAGTTAGAAGGGAGATCATTAAAAAATCTGGAGGCGACAGGTGCTGAAGGGGGTGTGGAGAAATAGGAATGCTTTTACAGTGTTGATGGGAGTGTAAATTAATTCAACTATTGTGGAAGACAGTGTGGCGATTCCTCAAGGACCTAGAAATAGAAATTCCATTTGACCCGGCATTCCCATTACTGGCTATATACTCTAAGGATTATAAATCGTTCTATTATAAAGACACATGCACGTGTATGTTTATTGCAGCACTATTTACAATAGCAAAGATTTGGAACCAACCCAAATACCCATCAATGATAGACAGGATAAAGAAAATGTGGCACAAATACACCATGGAATACTATGCAGCCATAAAAAGGATGAGTTCATGTCCTTTGCAGGGACATGAATGAAACTGGAAACCATCATTCTCAGCAAACCGACGCAAGAACAGAAAACCAAGCACCACCTATTATCACTCATAAGTGGATGTTGAACAATGAGAACAGAGGGACACAGGGAGGTAAACATCAGACACTGAGGCCTGAGGGGTGGAGGGCTAGGGGAGGAATATCAGGGGGTGGAGGGACTGGGGAGGGATAATGTTAGGAGAAATACCTAATGTAGATGTTGGAGGGATCCATGCAGCAAACCAACACCATGGCACCTGTATACATATGTGGCAAACCTTCACCATCTGCATATATACCCAAGAAGTTAAAGTATAATAAATAAATTAATAAAATAAAAACAAAAAGAGGACATTGAAGATAATTTAGATTTAGAGTTAGTGGGCATGAAATGGCAAAATTTGGTCTAAATAGGGAAGTTCAAGGGAAATAAAGGGAGTAGGAGCAGACAACAGTAAGAAAAAATGAAGATGCAGCTGTAACATCTTTTTAAAAAAATTCAGTCTTTACACTTTCATCTGGTCACTTTAGATTCTTCATCCCAGTGAACCATGCAGTAATGAATCACTTTCAGATGATAATCACAGTTGTTTCAGATTCTCTTGTGCGTACCTTGGGAAATTATTAGTGCTGAAATATCGTAACTCAAATAAAATATTTTCTCAAAAAGTAGGGTTTTTGTTTTTTTCTTTTGTATTTTGCCATCAGTTATATAATTCATTCTCACTATAGTCATTTCAACTATATCATCTGGGAAACATTAGAAAAGCAACACTCTTGTAAACCCATAAATTTAGACTGATGACATCTCATTCTTCTATTCAGTCAAGCCCTCGTCTCCTTCATTCCAGCTTCTAACACCTGTATTCTGTTGCATTTGCATCAGCTTCCCACTCCTTTCTTGTGCTTGTAATTCCTTATTGGGTAATATAACATACAATGTCACCTTAATTCCTTTTTAGGTGATTTAAGTATAAAATGTTAGCTTAAAGATGTGCACTTCTTTCACATACTTTGGCCTATAATATATGTTTCCTGGCCTGCTCAAATGTAAGTCAGTGATCTCCTTGGGTAGACAATTTAGAATTTTAGTTTCTGTTGTTGTCTCTGCCATAGATTCTGTGATGAGCATTATTCAAAGGAGCTCCCCAAGGCTCCCTGTTTCTAGTGTACTTGCCTACATAATCCCTGGGAGTATAAATATGATGGGATTTACTCCTATGATTATGTTTTATGGCATAGGTGACATTTAGAAAGAAAGATTAT